ACTTGTGTTTTTCTCCCAGCTACTCAGTGGGAATACCTTAAGGGAATAAGCATTTTCACAGCTCCTGAAAATTATGACCCTTCCTGGGAAGACAGATGGGTGTACTCAGATTGTCTCCAGCTGATCAGTTAGTCCTGTCAGGTTTTCACTATTCCAGGACAGGGGGGGTTCGTAGCCTGTAGGGAGAAAGATTTTGAACAGGTCTGATCAAGATCTTCAGAATTCAGATGTACAATGGAAAGGAGGTTTGTTTGTTTGTTTGTTTGTTTGTTTTGGTTTTGGTTTGGTTGGTTTGTTTGTTTGGCATTGGAAGTATCAAAGCACTTAGAAATTTTTTAAAATTAGTTTAAAAACCCCCAAACAAACAACCTCAAAGTTTCCTCTTCATTTTGAAAAACCAGTAAATTCTTTTGCTAATCAGTCTAAATTTTTCCTACCCAGAAAAACAGGCTCTGTCATAACTGGATGAGACTGATGGTTCTTCTAACCCAGTCACCTGCCCTCAGTGATGCCTAATAGCAAGTATAACCGAAGATTAAAGAACCTCTGGAATTATTAGGGAGTGTCCTGACTACCATAGTCAGCTTCTTTTTCAGCCTCAATCCCTTTGCATCTCAGATAAACACAGATCATCTTATCTTATTGCTTATCTTACTGGTTTCTTGTTGCATCTCCAGCTGAGCTGTTTAAACCTTCCCTTCAGATCTGGTTCCTCTGCCATCCGCATTGCTGTTCTCTGAACTCTCTTCTACTAAGCTCCATCCAAGTAGTGCCAAGTTGTTTCCAGCTGATTTCATGGTTTAGGTACACTCTCTTCACATCTTACTTATCTTTTTCTGTAGGAAGTATATATTATGTGTATAGAGCAAGTAGATCTCACAGAATCATGGAATGGTTTGGGTTGGAAGGGACCTTAAAGATCATTCAGCTCCAACCCCCTGCCATAGGCAGGGACAACTTTCCCCAGACCAGGTTGCTCAGAGCCCCATCCAGCCTGGCCTTGAACACTTACAGGGATGGGGCAGCCACAACTTCTCTGGGCAACCTGTGCCAGTGCCTCACCACTTTACAGTGAAGAATTTCTTCCTAATCTCTTGTAAACCTTCCCTCTGCCAGATTTAATACATTTCATAAATGAAGTGAGGGAAGCCAGAAGTTCAGCTTGTTTACACCTAAAGTTTGGACAGTCCAAAAGGAGATAGAGGAGATAGCAGGAGACTGGATTTATTTCCTCTGATCACCGTTTTGGTTCCCCATAATTTGAAGGCAGTAGAACTCTATTGACTATCATCAGCTCAGATTTAACCTAAAATTTACTTTGGTGCAACGAACATATTCCTTCTTCAGGCAGCACAGAGGCAGCAGAGGCTGCCTGGGGCTTTTGTCAGGATGAGGAAGGAAGTTTAGCTATGGCCAAACCCCACTAGACAGACATGGGTTTGGGAGATATTTAGAGAATCAGTGCTACTGTGGGAGCACAGTGATGAGGAAAGGAGGCACAGCACAGAAGCACAAAAGCAGGATGACATGCTGTAAAACGAGCTCCTGCAAAGGGAGAGACCCAGCTAGGCTTAGTCCCTGCTGTAGGCCTGGGGCATCTGAGCTAAATCTGGCCTCATGTCTCCTGCTGAGAAGAGAGTATGATATCAGACACACGAAGGAAAAATTTCTCTTGAAGGAATAATACTGAAAAGAGGTCAAGAGTTGGCTGAAATTCACCTTCTCCATTTACCCGACATGTCCAGCTCCCTGAGGCGTTAAGACAGAACATTTAAGCTCATCATTAATTTACAAGCAACGTCAGGAAGAATAAAGTAGGTTTTGTTTCTTGTCTTAGTAATATCTCATGCCACATAAAAATGTGGTTAGTACAAGTGGTTGATTCATGCGAGGAGATCTGCTTGAACAAAATAAACCTTGAATCACGACTTTACTGTTACCTAGAATGACGGACTTAAGCCAAAACCCCATAGGCCCAAGCTGTGAGGAGACTAAACCCAGGTCTGACTGCTGGGATTCATGGCTGTCACCTCTTAGATGCCACCATCAGTTCTTTTTGGACATTCTCAGCTTGTGAGATTTCTTGTGTTGTCTTTGAACTCAAGACAAGACTCAGTGGTTAATTACCCTTGTCCTGATCACTGCTCTTGCAGGTACAATGGAGCATTTAGCCCTTTTTGTTGGCTGAAAAAGTATCTCTGTGGCTGTCACAGACAGCAGGCACTAAACATCCTCCCTTCTCAGAGGTAATACAAGCAGTCACCTGATTTTTAGAACAATCCCTCTTAACTTAGACATGCATCTGTGCTGCATGGTGACTTTAAGTGGTCATAACACACTCCTGCACACTCCTAGTCTTTGTGTAGACTGGTATCCCTATAAACTCACTAGGATCACAGAGGGAGTCGAAGTAAAACTGGAATGGCCAGTTGAAGGCCTGGAGATAATTGAATGTAGGTTCTTGGCTGAGTGACTTTCCGAAAGAATAATTTTAGTTTCAAGGGCAGCTCACTATGTAATTAAAGATGTGTCTTAGCTGTGCATCACTTTGAAATTGACTCTTCCCATTTGAGTCCCAAATACTGTTTCCACATAAAAGCAGTTATTTCTTTGGTTGCTTAGTCCTACGTCTCAGTCTGACCTTTCACGGACATGAAGCCTGTCTGGCTGTGCCCAGTGCCATCTGTACTGCTTGCCTGGGTCTGCACCTAGCCTGGTGTCTATCCACAACCGGAGTCTAAGACACTATGCTCTACAAAACCTTTTTGCAACCCATATCCAGAATTTTCTGGATATTCTCCCTCCTGTAAAACGATCATGGTGAAATGACTTTAAAAATATTCTCATGTGCTAAGACATCAAGAACCCGAGTGGTACCATATCTAGCCCAACCATAGGATAATGTATAAAACCTCAAAAATGTAGAGCTTAAGTTTAGAGGATAACACAGAAAAACCTCCTAGAGGATTTCACTGGTTTCTTCAGGCATTTCTGTCAAGCCAAAAGATTAGTAAAGGGAAATGGACTTAGCTCTACAAGACATAAAATAGTGTCTAAACTTTTGTTTGTGTCTAGACTCAAACTGATCTTCTTCTGAGGATATGAATATCTCAGTAGTTTCTGGGAAATGTTTTGCCTGTGCCCATTGTCGTGCTGGGACCCAGGACTGAATGGAGGCACCAGAAATCCCATAGGAAAGTTTGTTTTGTGACACAGGTCCAGCCTCATATCCTCAATGAGTAAGTAAAACTCAAATAGATCCCAGGCTTGTGGGTACTTTCTCTGCTTCTGAAGTTCCCTGATCTGAGAGATTGATCCTATGAGACTCCCAGTGCTGTGATACACGAAAAACTCACAATGTTTAACAACTACAAGACAGGGAAGTGCTATCACCTACCTTTGATAAATTAGAAACCAAGGGAAAGAAGCATTCAAGGTCAGAAACAGTAAAGAACTGAAGAGATTTTAAAGTTAAGAGGAAAAAAAACCTGAACTTTTATCTATTTTATCTATTTTGCTGCCCAAAATAGAGCCCAAATGTTTCAGGCAGGCATCCTCTTCCATGACCATAATACACATAATACACTTCATTTATAGAGTTGCCACTTTTGCAATGCATTTTTCTCCTCTGAGCTTCTCTTAATACGTCACATTTTTGCCCGGTGTCAAGCCTCATGGTAAGATGAAAGGCACAGTTACAGGGAAGGTTGGATAAACATTATCAACACCTAACAGCAAACAGGGATAGAAAAGTGAATGGAAGAGTGTTGGTTTGCTGGGAGAGACTGAACCCCCAAATTTCTCTTTAGATGCTATTAGCAGGTAAATGCCACATCTGTATTTGGAGATCTTTTGTACCAGCAGCTTAAAGGCAAATGAGAACAAGCTGCTGCCCTCAAGAGTTTATAACCTTTTATAAAGAGACAGGATATGTATAGTGGGTGGAAAAAAAAAAAAAAGAAGTGATTACTCTCCTCCATTTTGCAGATGGAGATAGAGATCAAATGACATCTCTAACATCACACAGGAAGCCTGTGGCAGCACAAAACAGAAGGAACCGGGATTTTCTGGAAGCAGATGCTCTAACCACAAACTCCCTCTTTCCCTCACTTCCCGCATATTTTTTGTTTAACAGCCAGTGTCGAACTGCTGCACGTTGAAAAAGGAAACGTCTCCCCTTACACCCACCCAGCAACAGAGGAGTTTTAGTAGGATGCTTCCCTAGTTTCCCCCGAGGAATGGAGAGGGCCAGGAGGAACAGCAGGTGACTTTGAGAGGAGCTGGGAGATGAGGATGCTTTGTGGCTGGAGGAGGAGCTGTGGGGATCGATCCTGCCTGTGCTGTGGGAGTGTGAGCTGGACAGGACATGGGATGCCCACACAGCACTCCATCTTCAGCTCCCTGACCAAACCAGCCACTCATCTTCCTTTCTTAACAATGAACAGCCCAGCCAAAGCCCGAAAGCACATTTTTGATCTAAGGCAGTGACAGATGAACGATTTGGGGGTTTGTTGCTGACAAATACCCGAGCAGTGTAACCGGAGCCAGTTATACTATTGTTATGATGACACTGATACACGTGTTGATGTTCTTATGGCTGCAGAGCTCGGGCTACATTATCTTTTTGCCTCTTTCGCCAGGTAACTTGAGGCCGCAGCACTATTGATTGGGGACCGCCGGGTGCTGCGGCGTCCGCTCCTGTAACCATAGCCCGGTGGGGCTTTGGGGCTATTGTGAGGGCTTTGTTCAGCTGCTGACAGCTCCGGGCAGGAGCATGCAAGAGTTGCAAACGTTCTTATTGTGCTTCTTTGCCTTGCAGACAATAGGAGTGGGCGGCAGTGAGGAGATAGTGGGCTGACTTCGGTGGAGGACAGAGCAGGAGGTGTTGTAGTACCCCACTTCTGAATGCTCCTGACAGCAGAAAAGGGGTTGCTCTCTCCTAGGAAGGCTGGAATGCCTTTATGCCAGGGCTTTCATTTTGGGCGCTCTTCTGGATGTGAATGCAGCCTGTTGATTATGTGGATGTGGAAAGCAGGCTAAGCGGATCCGATAACCTGACATCCAAGATGCATCCTTTCCCTTGCTCAGCCCTGCTCACCTGCTTCGGAAACACACACGAAAACACCCCTTTTGAGCAGCCCAACGCCAGCCCTGTGTCCATGGAGGAGGAGAAGACAGAGGCAGCCTCAACAGTGTGCCTGCAGCCATCCTCAACAGCGGCCAGCAGCATCAGGCACGGAGGAGAGAGGGACAGCGAGGAGATGTTCAAAGCCAGCAAATGCTCTGGAAAACACAGCCGTGCAAGCAGCAACTCCAGCAATCACACTGCTGCTCAGGCAGTGCCTGCTACCACTGAGTCATCCGTGTTTGCTGTGAGTGAGCTGAGCCAGGATGTTATTGCACTCTGTACTCACATCCCCAGGCCATCCATCATCCACGTGCCAAAGGTGAGTGCTCTAGAAGTCGCTATCCAACAAGGTAAGAGAATTGGCTCTCTTTAACGAAGTATGGAAAGGGAAGGAAAAAAAAAATCCATAGGAGCATTTATCTTGTATCGATTGGCATGCAGTCAGGAAGGGACTAATGGCTGTTCTTACTAGAATAATGCAATATGACAGCTATAGCTTTCCCACACTATTATCAGAAACCTTAGGGGATGTTTGTAAAATACCAGGCACTTTTACAATATATTTCGATCAGTTGTCTTCCTATATTTTGGTGATCCTCACTTGTTTTGGACCTGATCCAAAATCCCTTGAAAAGAACAGGCATCTTTTTTTCCCACTGACCTGAGTGAATGCTCCATTTTTGCCACCTCAACCAGGTGCCCCAAGGCTGTGGTACCAGTTACTGCACAACCCTTTTTCCATCTTATTTTTAGCTTGTGTGTGCTTGGAGGCAACAGTAAAGTTTTGAGTGGAGTTTTGAAGAACTCAATTTGTTCTTGCTTTAATAAGATCACAAAGTTGAGTATTTTACCATTGTTACTACTAAAATAATGAATAGTAATGGAGAAATAGTGTTCTCATTTTCTCTTGATTAGGTAACTGGAGATCACAGGCTTCTCCCCCCCCCGTCCAATAAACAGTGAAGAATAGAAGCCACATGTGTGACTCAACTTTTTTTATACCACAGCTTTTATTTAGTAGTCCATTCCTCTTCCAAATCACATATATTCTGAGTGTTGCTCTTGGCTTCCCCTTCGCAGTCAGGTAATACCACGCTTGGCAAAGATATCTGCCCTTCTTGTAGAACAAGTGCTAGAAAAAAGTTTAATACGAGATATATTTGCTGGAATTAAGAAGTTTATCAGAATCAGGGTTTCCAAGTGTGTTGTGCTGAGATTACCAGAGCTGGGGTCTCTTCAGACCTTCACAGTCCTGTTGCTATCAACCACAGCCCTCATGAGGAACATGTGGAAAAAATGGAGCTACCTAAGAGCAATATTTTGTTTAAGTGTAGAAAGGAGGTCTGGCTGTGGAGGTGCTGGGATCTCTTTCATGTGAGATTTTGAAGAAGAGCTAGCTGGCTGTTATCTGGAGATGAAGTAAGTATATTTACTCCCGCTGACATTCAAGGAGCCCAAGCAGATACTATCAAAAGTCTCCCACACCAGCACATTGCTTTGGTTTCACTTGCTTTTTTTTTTTTTTTTTGGCTTGGGAGGTTCAGGTTGGATGTTAGGAAAGGCCTTCTCACCTAGATGGTAGTACAGCATGGGAAGAGGTCACCCAGAAGTGATGGGAGTGCTGTGCTTGGAGGATTACAAGACTTGGCTGGACAAACCAGGGCTGAAATGATGTACCATAGGCAGCCAAACTGCTTTGAGAAATGTTAGACAAGAGACCTCAAGAGGCTCCTTGCAATCACAGTTTCTGTGGTTGTGTGATGTATGGATTTTGATGCATGTGTGCTGCTTATAAGCACAAGGAATCAGGGTCAGGCTGTGTCATTTCTTGGCTGTGCCTGAGACAACAACACAGCCAGTTGCGCTCTTGGCCTTACAATGATTTTGTGACAACTTCTCCCCTCTTTATTCTCCTGCCTGCTCCCTTCCAACCACTTCACCCTGCCTTTGCTCACCTGCTGCTCGTCTCTGTGCTGCCAATGCTTCTTTCATGCCATGATTGGCCACTGTAGCAGAAGAGGTTCCTTATGCTGGGCACAGTCACCTCGAACCTCCACAGGTCCGTGGTGTAGGAACAGGCAATGCTGTACTGGTCCAAAGGTGCTCCCACGCCTTTGCAGTGGTGGAGCAGGGATTCTGCTGACTCACCTGTGTCAGGGGTTTCTCTAGGAGTACACATGGCTCAATTTAGGAATGCAAATTTATAACCTGCAATCAGAGGAGAAATCAAGAATGGGCCCCAGCCCGCTGGACAGTCTGGGTGATTCAAATTCAATCACCCAAGTCAAATAGTCCATCACTGGGTTTAGGTATTTTTTTTAAGAACAAGCTACAAAAACATCTGCCAGCATGGTGTGTGGCCCTGTCCTGAAGTTCCTGCTGAACAACTTCTTATAAGTACCCTGGTGTTTTGCTGTCACTGGGGAGATCTATGAGGAAACTCTTTGTCAGAACAGGAATTGGGCTTTTTGCTGCCCCTCAGCTTTGAGACCTTCCTGTCAATGTTGGTGACACTCCAGGTCCCACACACAAGGACCACTTACTTCTCCATGGCATAAGATGTTGCATCTGATCAATCCCAGGGTGTCAGGGCATTCTGCTACCAATGGGATGAGGCAACTCTGGTGGCATGTCGGTACCAGAAGACCCACAGAGGCCTTGGTGTCTGACTATCCACAACCAACTTTTCTATGAGAGTCTGCACTTCAGAGACTTGCTTAAATGGCAGTTTTCGGTGCCTTAAAGCAAAGCAGTGTCTTCCCTCGGCTCTGCCCATCAGCACAACTAGTTTTAAAGTGTTAGTGGCCTCAGTGATTGCCTTCCCAGGTAAAAAGAAAATAAATAATTGAAGTGAAATGAGAAAATGGGGCTATTCATGCAGGTTCTGGTTGGAGGCAGGAGTGCAGCGGGTGGGAGAAGGCATGCAGGATGTGACTCTGATGGATTGAGGATGAAGGTGTGGCATGTGGAGATACTGGAGGGTTTAGACTTTGTGCCACTGTTGGGGAAGAAACATCTTAAATATGGAGAGGGATAAGAGGGTCCCAGCAAGGGGAGTGGGGAAGACAGAAGGAGGTTATGGTCATGGCATGTGGTGGGCTGGGGACCAGACACACAGCTCCTGGCATGAGAGGGAGGAAGAAGATGGAGAGAAAAGCTGGTGGGAGGCACACAGGACATCTGGTATACATCTAAGGGCAGGGACTGAGGGGAGATACGGGCCATGAGGAGAGAAAGAGGAGCACAGGGTCTCCGTGAGCATGGTGTGGGTGGCCTTGGTGGGAGGAGGGAGAGGAAAGAAGAGGAGAAAGCACAGAGCTGATGGAGAACAGGGACTGGAAGTATTTCAGTCCCCAAAGCAGAGCTCTCGCCTGTCCTAAAATAATAATAATATCCAGACATTACTAAGGGAGCCAGTGAGGCCCCATGGAGAAGACACAAGCTTCCATCTTCCTTGACATATTTGAATTTCCCTTTGTATCTCAGTTTCTCCAGCTACAAATCAGACAGAGTTTGTCATCTTTCCCATGCAATCATGGTGAAATCTATAAATTAAAATAATATATACCTGCTAAGTGGCAAAGGCAAATGTTCTGTGTCAACACACCAATCTCACAGACCTAACCTAGAGACCTTTAATTCATGTTCTTCCATCAAGTTCTTTGACAAAAGCTGAAGTGACGTCTGGAAAAAGTCTCATAGTATTTTGTCTCTTTCATTTTCAAAATTATATCATCAAGGGGGTAATGACAAATATTCCTGGAACTTTCAGCAGCAAGAGACCTGCTGTCTACCTGTCAGCAGAATCCTTTTCAAGCAGAGGATGAGTCCATTTTTCACTAATAACATACAATTCTAGTTTGAACACATAATATACTAATTAACAAGATCTTCCAGCTGACCCACCCCACTGGGACATGTAGTCACATATTTTGGATTACAGTGAAGCTGCATGCATGCAACCAAATCCAGAATTTGATCAATTATTCCTTTTATGAGAAGACTGCATCTGCTCCAGATGGAGCCAACCTTAAATCCGATATAAACATGATCCCAACAAAAATTAGATTTGAATGTAATTACCAAAGAGATTGAGTTAGACTTGTCTGGTCACAAATTACCATGACAGCAATATGCTTGTAAATAACCAACCATCACTTTAATATTTAGAGGTTGCCTCAGTAATAAAGCATGATTAAATGTCAATAAAGTTCTCGACATCTTGCATCTTTGTCCTGATTCTGATGTGTAAAGAATTAATTCTTTTGTATTTTGTGTGCTGCCTGGAGAGCCTTTATCAGTCTTTAGAAGGCCATAAATCAAAGCTGCCAGAACTAAACACGGAAACTTTGCTTGACTGGTCTTTCAACCTCAGCTACAACATGAAAAAATTTTCCCATCTTTTATTTCCAAGTCCAGTTTTAGCAACTGATAAACTCTGGGGTGGAAACTTAGAAGAAAGTCTTATTGTTCTGAACAAACAACTGTGCTATGACTCCAATAAATGTTTAATGTTGACAAAAGCACATCAGTGGCCCTTTCTGCTAGCAGTATCATTCACCTGACTTGAACTCTTCGACCTTCAGAGTTCAGATTGAGTTCTTTTCAAAAACAAATGAAACATAAACACTGTCTGATGCATCATGGAATTATTTCTTCCCTTTCAAGCTGTTTGACCCATCAGAAAATCAGGAGCTGAGACCTTAAATGGAGAGATCCTGGGAATGATATGTCTGATGAGGCTCCCCATGGCACCTGGGGAATTAGTCTCACCTGCAATTTTCTAGATAAAGTGTCGGTCAAACATTTAGAGTACATAGAACCCTTTAGAGGATCCCACAACTACTTTTAAAACTTGAATGTGCAGCTTTTTTCTCTTTTTCACCTGCACCTTTTTGCTGCCTAGTTTAGTTGCTTGGCTAGAAAAGCCAGATAGTGGATTTGATGCAGTGAAGCTCATTTTCAAGACTGTGGATGTCAACAGACAGGCTATTGGTACCACACTGACTTCCAGTGACTTTACCAGGCTTTGGCCCAGAACTAATCACATTGGGAAGATAATAGTGACAGATTCACAAGTTCAACCATGTCATTTCAATTTCCCAGTGCAATTTCTATTATCATCTTTATTTTGTTCTTTGGATCTTTCTCTGGCCACTGTGTAGGTTTATATCTAAGGGGTTCAAGTAATGCATTACATCAAGGACTTAGAATCATAGAATCACAGAATAATTAGGGTTGGAAATGACCTCTAAGGTCATTGAGTACAAATGTTAACTCAGCACGGCCTTGAGAACTGAATTCCTCCCTGCTTAACAC